TTTTTTTAAACTAGGTCAGCAGTTCAGTGGCCAAGTTAATTGGCTCATTGCCAATGTCTTATTCATGAATGAAATAATAGTTGCTGCATGGGTTTCTTTTTCTTTTAAAAAATCATAAAACATTCTTCAGATGGAATTTTCCCAGCAGGCTGCTTGTTCTTTTCCCTTCCTTTTCTCTTGCAGTTATTTAAAGCATGTGTGTGTGCGCGCGCACACGTACTACTGTCATTTCTCATCTAGCACTGATATACTCGTAAGGATGCAAACCTATGAAGGAACAAGGAAAAGAAAACAGCCCACCACCAACCAGCAGTTTAGTTTGTTATATATCTGAACTGACACCACCAAATTACAAAACATTTTGAGCAAACAAAAAGGGATTTAAATAATCCATGTCCCACAATAGCAATCCCAAGGCAAACTGTTAATTTGTGGAGCAATTTAGAAGCAATAGGTATTTTATTTAAGGAGAATGCCAAAGACCTGGAAAGGCCTGAGAGTCTCCCAGATTCATTTTTCCCTGTGGGAAAGCAGGCTCCTAGAGCATAAGGCAATAAAAAGAACATTCTCAGCAATAACACAGCAATGTTCATTCATGCACTCTTACTCTGATGTTCAAGAAGCAACAGGGTTGATAATTAGAGATCAAGACGGTGAAGAAAAATGTGAAAAACTTTGTTCATGCCATTATGAAGCACAATTCACTAAGCAGTGTTATTATCTATTTACTATAAAGGCATATGAATAGTTTATTAATTATGCATTTTTTGCAACAGCTGGCTTTTTCAAACAAGAGAAATAAAAGATCTACGTATTTTTCAATGGGTTATTTGTATATGATATACAAAGGGATGACTCCAATGTCTATGATTGGACAGGCAACCTATGGTCTTCAGATGCACTAGTACTGACCAGTGGCTTTCAGATGGCTCTTGCTAGATGGCCCTTGTGGTTCCTTCAAATGCTAAGGTTTTGTGATTCTAAACAGGGTAAATTTTCAAAGTTCTACTTCTGCTACTATAAAACCACCTTACAGAAATCAAGTATTGGTATAGACTCCATTAAAGCCAAACTTCATTTCACTTATGATTGGCCAATCATAACTTTACATAACAGCCAGCACTAGCTTATTAATCTTTTATTGTGTCAAAGTACAACTGAGCCTCCTAAACGAAGTATAGCATTTAGAAGGTCATAGTATTATATTCTGCCAGACAGAGATGCTGAATGTAGGAGTTATACTGTTATACTCAGTCAAAAAATAGATGTAACAGCTATGCAGTCACTCTCTGGGGATTATGTAGGCTATAAAATGTATGTGTAAGATCTCAGCCAGCTCAGCTAGCTACACAATACCTACAAACCTTTTAATATAAGTACATGCTATAATAATCAGATAGATAGCCTCCGAGAAGGGGCACTCACATCAATAGTGTAAATCTGTCCCTGCAGGGATTTACTGTCATTCCAATGAATATTATCTTCTTATGAGAAAATATATATAAGTAAATGAAAGGATAACATAATAACAGAAATGGATTACATTCCTCTGCAGGGAATTACCTGGCAATATCAAGTGCCCTTTCCAATCCTATACTGTTTTGTTTTGTTTTTAATATTCATTTAAAGGAAGAGGAAGGATTTTTCATATCCCTTTGAACAAAATTTTCTCATCTGAAACACAAAAATAAAGCTCAGAAAAGCAGACAGCAGCTCTTGAAACTGCGGTTATGTTGTGTTCATCATGATTCCCATCAAATGCCTCAATGTATTCAAAATTATTCTTTCTCCCTTATATATTACTTTTGTCTTTCCTCTGCAAAAGTCTGAGCAATATTTTACACTTCAGGCTGTAGGAAGTGGAAAGCTTTGTGATTGCATTTGCACAAACAACTATGTGCCTACATCTAGCGAAGAAATAGTTGAGTAGTTAGGATTCTAATGTGATCCCACTTCTTTTGTATGTTTTTCTATTGTTTCTTTGCCTATAGACCAAGAGTGAAAATCATGTGACCTGTATGCTGCATGTAGTCCAGGGGGTCTCATTGAAACAGGAGTGGTTGCCCACCCCTGTTGAGTGTTCTTTCTGACTTATCAGCTAATCTTTATCTCTCTGGAGGTGCCTTTTATCCATTTCTGGCTGGCTGCACTTCCATGGTGAAATCCAAGCAAGCAGAGATATTCTCAATACACCACTTACTGTAAGCATTCTTAAGTACTGGAATCTCAGAATATTATATGGGAAAATGAGGGACCCCTGCTAATCTTTTAGGCTATTCATAATGGGCATGTATCTATTCAGATAGGAAACATACTAGCCTATTTGACAGCACAGATTCTCTCTCACAATCATGGTCTGGGCAGTTACCTGTTAAGAACACTGTAGCTATCAAACAGCCATCCTGGTGGTGGGAGGTTGATCCTCTGTCAGCCTGACTTCTGTGTTAGTTTTATGTCTTTCCCAGCCTCCACTTAGTCCAGGAATAGGCAACCTTTCCCCTTTAAGGGCCGAGGGACTTCAGTTCCCAGAAGCCTCAGCCATGTTGGCCAATAGTCCCATGTTGGCCAATAGCTCCTGGGATTCTGGGAGCTGAAGTCCCTCAGCCCTTAAAGGGGAAAGGTTGCCTACCCCTGATTTAGTCAATCAGGTTACAGATGTCTACTAGCCTCTGCTTATAATATACTCCTTCAATTAGGAAAAAAGATCTTGGTGTAACATTCTTGCTGGCCACTTAGTTTTGACTGACTTCCATCAAACTGTCATCATACTGCATCAGCTGGTAACCCTTTAAAGCTTTCTATTTTGTATTTTATGCTTTACAACTGCACTATTTAAATTTCCAGATCTTAATTTTTGCAACCTGTATCTCAGTTCAGCCCTCAGCCTGCATTACCAATGTGGTCCTTGGAACTCCCCACATATCCCCAATGTTTGATCCCCTCCATCTGTCAAAAAATAGTTTTGGCTAAAAAATGCCCTGTGTATAATTTTGCTGTTTCAGAGGGACTCACTGTTGAACAGGTGAAAACTGCTACTCAAAATGGCTGGCAGAGACTTCCAGTTCCCCCCAGTGCAGGTCATGTTGTTTGTATGAAGTTGAAAGGATCAGAAAATGGCTTTCTAATCCTCTGCTCATGCCTGTCAATCTGATATTCTCATTTATGAGTCAATTTCACTTGCCACTTTCTCTAAGCATTCTTTGACTTAGGGCCTCTGCAGACGGGCCCAAAGGGATGGCAGAGAGCTGCCCTGGGAAGCGGCGGATCAGAACCGAGGCTGATGCACCACGTGGCCCCTATCCTCCCTTTTGCCACCTGGAAAAGAGTGGCAAAATGCCACTCCTTTTACGGGTGGCAAAAGGCATCCCTAAGAGCCGGTGCACAGTTCTTTAGCACCCCTTCTGGTGCAGCATGTCAAAATGCTGTGCCGGAAGGACCTCCTGATGCCGCGCGTCATGTGCAACAGCGCACAGTGTCAGGAAGGCCTCAGCGTGGGGTTGGGCGGCTGCCCCTCCCCATCTCTGCCTCCAGGCTGGCACTTTGGGCTGGTCTGTAGAGGCCCTTAGTCAACATATCTGTAGCCAACTTCAGACCCTATCTTGCTCAGTTTGTCAGACATGTAATTTCCTCAATACATCTCTTCACTAAAGAAATCCTTTGACATTAATTCCATGCAACCAGCTTCTGTATAAAGCCAATAAAATCAGCCCTGTGAGAGATGGGGATATCACCACTGTTACACAGTAATAATCACTGTGAACATAATGCAAACCTGTGTTTTCCACATGCAAACCAGACACTGTAAGCATTACATCATAACAACGCACATCAAGCTGGTTCAGACACTGCTAGCCCATCCCACTGGTCCGTTCAGTGAGTCATGTAGCACAGGGTCATGACCATGCCAGGATTACCATTCATAATCCCAATAGGCAAACTTTAGACTTGCAATGGTACGGAAGACAATACATTTATGTTTAATGAATAAGCCAGCACATATAACACCACACACCCCAATATTTCACAGATAGAAACTGGAACACATATGGCTGAGCAGTATCAGAGAATAACCAAAAGCCTTCAGTTGGGCAAAATTTGAGAGAGAAAAAATTGAGAGAGTATATGGTGCAGAGTTCTGGGCATGCTATGATTCAAAGTGAATTCCTTCAAGGAAAGCCCCTCTTTATCAGAAAATGATTGCAGTCAGAAAGCTATTTAAATTAAGGTGACCAGATGACCTAACCACAAAGGAGACAAGGCACTATAAAATGTAGGACATTCAAGAAAAATGTAGGACATTACAAAATAAAAGCTAGAACCACTAATATAAATGTAAATTCATGCTGCTTAGTCATGCTCAAAATGGAGGACATTTTGAAAATCCTCCTGGACAGAAGGTTGAAATGTAGGACATGTCCTGGAAAAAGAGAACTTCTGGTCACCTTGATTTTTTAAAAAAAACAAAACTTGATAGGTAGCAAGAACACTTCCTTTTGCTGGAAAGGGCAAAACTGCATTTTCCTCTTCTGCTAGAGCAGGAAGGTGGGCTAATGGAGTGGAAAGAAATAACCAGCTTTGGCTGCAGAAATAATCTAGGCTGACACCACTTTAACTGCCATGGCTCAAGCCCATGGAATTCTGGGATTTGTAGGTTGTTGTGGCACCAGAGCTGTCTAACAGACGGGGCTAAATGCTTCATGA